GCCCTTTCCGGGAAGCCAATATGGCCACCGTGGACCAGCCTACCCAAGCTAAGATGTAAGAAATAGTGCCGACAGCTGAATTGCCGCAGGGTAATATGCGGTCATGAACGATCCACTTGGGTAACTGGGCGAAACCTCATTGGAATCAGCCTACCTCTAGTAACGCGGGGCTCTGCCAACTCTTCCCTTGCTACTTTTGGAAACACACATGAATGAAACAACACAAAAACAGAAACAACGAAAATCAATCTCGAGGCTGGACACAAGTGCTCGCCTCAAACTAAGGCGGTGGCTGGGGATGAACAGAAATGTCCACCTAAATCTACCGCTTGGAATGGGGCTCCAATAGCAAGGGTATTTCATGCGGCGGGCGCCAAGAGCTCCGTCTTGAATAAAGGCAAGGAACCGGCTGCCCCTGCAGGAAAGGTCCCTCACTTGTGCTCCTCCGCGGAACCCCAAGAAGGTTGAAGAAGCCACACAACGACAGTAATATCGCTGCACCTTCCAAAACTTTCGCGGAGGCCACCATGAGCCACCTCAAGGTTGCCAAAGAGAGTGTGTGTTCGGCGAGTCTTGGCCTACACCTGCCAATATGAAGGAGATATCTCCTAGTGACCTATTCACTTTTCTGGAAAGGTCAGGATGGACGATGACCTCGGGAGGATGTACAATGGGTCACATGTGGCCTAAGTGCTGTGAGTCTACACTCACCCTCCCTACTCTACAGATACCAGATACCAGCTGCACCCCTTGAACCCCAGGGTAAAGACGGCCCTATATGTATGTATGTATGTAACTCTGCAACTCGTAGGTAAGTGATCCATTCACAGCGGCACGTGAGGAAATATTTATTGTTATTCTAGTTTAGTTTTTCTTGCCGCTCCTCCTCGAGTTAGCACATTTCTCAACAAAATAATTCATCCTTACACAATTGATAAAAACGATTTGCACGATTCCAAGTACCTAAAAAGTATTACTTTATCATGAGTGTTTCATAGCCGATATCGAATAACATTAGTAGATACAACTCTAAATATAGCATTAGGGTATTTTTTACAATCGATTTAAGTACATCTTGACTACATTTCATTTTCTATCAAACAGTTAAATTTCGATGTATAAAATTGATACGCTCAAATATAGATATGAATATTAGAAAAAATGAATGAAACAATTCCCTATCTTGTTACTATATTATTATAATTAGTGCTACTGGTGCAGCCAGTCTTGTGTGGTATTCATTTGCCGATCCAGTTAATTGCGGCTCTTCAAACTCATGGGTACGGCACTGATATTTGCTCTAATACTTCATTGATACGTGCTTTTTGTGCTCTGGTGATTTTGCGAAAGAGCGGATGAAAATCTTGAGAATCGTAGATTTTTTGAGAACTATTCAGAGTATTCATTATATTGTGTAACGTCTTGAAATTTTTCATGAGCAATTTAATCTTTGTGATGACATATCATATTCAGATAATAAAATCAAATCCCTAACAAAACTCCGACTGTGTATTATAAACTAATCCCGAACACAAAACTCTTAACGACTTGAAGCTGATAAATGGGCCAATAAAATTTAATGAAGTTCCCGCGAATCTACAATGAATGATTTTTGCGTGTAGTTTAGTTTTGACTGCCATTCAAACTGGTCTGGTCGCTACACTCGGTGCTCCACGCCTTCCCAAACCATTTTCATCGGTCTTCAGAATCAACCGATGTCGAATTTGTTCTTATTTGGGTTCGTTCTAGTGCCCTTATTGGGGGCTGTGCTTTGTGATTTCGATCTCTTCATTCTGCACAACAATGATATGCACTCTAGATTCGAAGAGACCGAACCCAATTCGGGGACGTGCAAACCGGAGAACAAGAACAGATCATGTGTTGGGGGGTTCGCCAGAGTGGCCCACGAAGTCCGCAGATATCGTAAACTGGCCCAGGAAAACAAAGGGCCTCCGGTGCTATTTTTGAATGCCGGAGACACGTACGTCGGAACTGTGTGGTACAATCTGTTTACTTGGAATATTTCCCAGCAGTTCATCAATATTCTTCAACCTGATGCGGTGGTGAGTTTTTATGCGAATTCAAAATGTTTCAGACTCAATTGCAGATTATTTCAGAAAATCATTAGAGAACTAAACTGAAAACTACTCACTAAGATACAAAATACGTATTCATGATATTGTGTTGACAATATCATTTCGGGAAACTACAAAAAAAAATTGAAAATAATAATCGAAATATGGAGAAAAGGATGATGGAATTTACAAAAAGCAGTTCTGAAAACTGCCTAAAAAGTGATACTTCTCTCTTGTTGCAGTTTTGTAAATTATTTCGTGAATATTTCACGAAGTGATATGGATTTTCATCAAGTATCTGCCAATTGCATCTGATATTTGATGAAAACGGTATAGATTATAGGTATTTACTTCATATGTAAACCGAAATTTTCACTTCAAACCACCTAATCTGGTTTCAGTGAAATGGCTCATCGTCAAATTCTGCTACAACTCTGTCCGAATTTTCACAGATAACATTTCCAAGTCGGTGGATATAGAAATGGAGACTAGTCGAATAGCCCACAGTATTTTCGAAAGTTTCATTCATTTAATGATTCAAATGATTTCATGAAATGGATTCTAAATTTTGGGGACCGGCTTTAGGGGAGGTTCCAGCAGTGGCCGCCCAGGTCGCCGGTACTTAGAGGGGCCGTACGCCCCAATGTATGTCTAAAAACACTGAATATGATGACCAATGTTGGGTTTAATAGCAATCACGATGCTAAAGTATTTGAAGATTTCAGATAGTAACTTAAAAACCTTCATTTGATAAAACTTTTGGATTAAAAGATGCTCCAAAATATTCTTCGAAAGACATTTTTTGTGAGGGATTCAAATGTATATTATTGTTTTTTTGGAATATAACCTTCCAAAATCTCAAAAATAAACAAAGATGAATCGGTGAAGTATAATAAAGGAAAACCTGAAAAGTACCTATACTCCAAAAAGTTACTGTGTAAGTCCAATTAGTCAGTTACTTGTAATCATTATGTACAAATTACATAATCAATTGCAAAAATTTATATACTGACCTTCCTTTAGTGATCGATGTTTCATAAAACAATCTTTTTCAAAACTCACGACTTCCGACATTCTACCTCCGAACACGTAACAAAAACCATTTTACCAGTATTGTAAGAAGTGGGTCGAACAGGGTTAACCGACTTCCGAACACTTAACAGCACACCTAGATAATGACAAATGAGATTTTGTCGAAACGTTGGTGAAATTAAAGATAATATCACATACACGGATCAAATACCCGAAAAACCAGTTCAGCATAGTCCTATCCGTGAGAACTTCAGATTTAACATTCGATACCTTAACGGGGAGATAAGGTTAACTTAGAAGAAGAAGAACTCGGGTAAAATTCAACAACATTTAAGTAGTAGGTAGTAGAGCGTTTATGGACATTCTACCTCCGAACACGTAACAAATACAATTTTACCAGTATAGTAAGAAGTGGGTCGAGCAGGGTTAACCGACTGTCGAACACGTAACAGCACACCTAGACAATGTCAAATGAGAGTTTGTCGAAACGTTTGTGAATGGCTGGTTTCTCCGGAGTTTTTTCTGGTTTTTTGATTATTTGTTTAATCAGTTATCAATGTTTAATCGGTTATCAATTTCACCAGAGCACCTTCATACAAAATTTCAAAAATCATAGCCGACGAACTGAAAAACAAAATCATCAGGAACAACGACCACAGCATCAAAAATACAATAGAACTCACAGACAGAATATCTACGACAAATGTCAGTCCGAACACTAAACTGTTCTCGTTCGACATAAAAAAACATGTACTCCAACATACCAGTCAAAGAAAGTATAAACATCATATCTGAGAAACTAAAACACCAAAACATAGACAAAACCTACATTTACCAAATGGAACATTAATGCTTTGTGTGTATATGTTGTTTAGTTAAAAAAAAATCTGCAATATTAATGTAATTACATAAATATTTTTGTTGTATATTCATTCAAACATTCACCAAATATATAAATAATGTCTGTTTTTTTGAGAATAAATATGTATTTATCTATATGTAAGCTATTGGCCAATAGCCAGAAACACGTGTTCCGCGGTTTGCCAATAATTTTTATAAATTATTATTATTATTATTATTATTTGGCTTCAATAATCATGTGCGATCAAATAATCATGTGCGATCGGTAACGAAGATAATGAATATTGACAAATAACGAATGAAACAATCATTCATTTTGTGACTTAATTACTATACTATCGTGTCTGTGCGACATAAATAAGGGTACACGATATTTTGCATAAAAACTAGATCTTATCAGTCCAATCGGAAAGTTTGCTTACAAACAAAAAGTTTTGTTCACATTTGTTCATCACTAAATGTTTAGTGTTCACCTTGTTCGATTAAAGACCTATTTATTTTGTAAAAATTTATTTTTAATTTAGAATAAAGAAACTTTTCTAGTAACTAATATTACTTGAAAATGGTCTAATAAACCGAAACGGGTCGTAACAAATAATAAACTTAGTAGAAATTGAACAAAAGTTATTTTCTTTATTACATATTATTTAGTGTTCAACCGACTGATAAGCCAATTATGAAAAGTCAGTCTTGTTTCGATTTCATTTGCCGATCCTGTTAATTACGGTACCCCAAAATCATGAGTACGGCATTGGCTTCTGCCCTGATAGTTTATTAATACGAGCTATTTGTGCTTTAGTAATTTTGGAGAATAGCGAATTGAAATCATTAAAATCTAAAAAAAACTTATTTCAACTGTTTGAAACTTGCACTAAATTATCCAATGTCTCGACATGTGCCTATCACATTTCATATTCCGATGATAAAATTAAATCCCCACCGACCGGGTATTGTAAACAAATCCCGAACACAAAACTCTGAGTGACTTGGAGCTGATAAATGGGCTACTAAAATTCAATGAACTTCTCGCTAATCTACAATGAATTATTTTTCCGTGTAGTGTAGTTTTGAGCGTCATTCAAACTGGTCTGGCCGCTGCACCCGGTGCCCCACGCTTACCCAACCATTTGCGTCGGTCTTCAGTTACTAATGTCGAACTTGCTCTTAGTTGGTTTCGTGCTACTGTCCTCACTGGGAGCTGTGCTTTGTGATTTTGATCTCCTCATTCTCCACAACAATGATATGCACTCTAGATTCGAAGAGACCGAACCCAATTCGGGGACGTGCAAACCGGAGAATAAGAACAGATCGTGTGTTGGGGGGTTCGCCAGAGTGGCCCACGAAGTCCGCAGATATCGTGAACTAGCCCAGGAAAACAAAGGGCCCCCGGTGCTGTTTTTGAATGCCGGAGACACGTACGTCGGCACTGTGTGGTACAATCTGTTCACTTGGAATATTTCCCAGGAATTTATCAATATTCTTCAACCTGATGCGGTGGTGAGTTTTTATGTGTGAAGGGTGATCATTATTTAACTCGTCACTTCACTGCAGTAATTGTAAGTGAACTGAATTGACAACTATTCATTGAAATGAATGTGTAACTTGAGAGTGAATGTGTGACTTGAGAAAAACGTCTCAACGTTTTTCCATTAATGAACAAAGAATGGGAAACCAGAAAAGAATGAAAGCACGCAAATTTGAAAATGACAATGGAAACTTGGAAATATGGTTTCAAGTAACACTTTATTACGAGATTTTCACAAGCATTTTAGAAACCGCCTGAAGAAGCTACTGTAAAGTGAAACGCTTAATACGGTTCGCTATAATGTTTTTTGGATATCTCATAATAAAGTGTTATTTAATACGTGTATCATGGATTTTTATCAATTATCGACCAATTTCATCTTATGAAAATAGTGTAAATCACATAACACGTGTTTCTCTGTTCAATATATTTTCAAGCTTAATCTTTTTCAATAAATTGATGGATGTAGCCGTTACTACGTGGTGAGAAATCATAATGAAAAAAGAAATGAAACTTTCTATGTTTTTCACCACTTTTATTTGTAACTAACGTTACTGCAGTTTCGTCCTATACGGACATTATCAAACTTACACAATAAAGTTGTATATCTCGTACGAATATTGACACACATACATCATCAACACAAACCTATCAACATAATCTAGTAGCATATGCTCAACAGACTATTGAATATTCCATTGCTTAATTTTCAGAAAAAACTGAATTTCATCAAACAACTGTCAAGTCTATCCCACTTATGATAACGATAATGAGCATCACAGGACATTGACATACTTTGGTGAATCCACGAATAACATCGCTCATTTTTTTGAAAGAAAAGACCTGGACGTAGCTTAGAGAACGAATAGTAACTTGAGCAGATTCATTGAATGGAATGAAGACAAAACTTCAGTATCGGATAGATACTGAATATATGAGTTGACTTGTGGTTTTTGCCCCACAACTTTATATTGGCCAAACGGGGAGTATCTTTTTCCAAAGAATTAGAGAACATAGGAGTCGTTTCTTGAACATGAAAACAATCATACATTTGAAAACCATTTTTTGACAGAGGAGCATGAGTTTAACCTAAAGTATTAGATTTTGAAGAGGAAATTTTGAAACTCAATATTTTAAAAGCTTATAAATTTATAGATTTGAGAATTCTAAAATTCACCTAATGACCAAAAAGAATTAAATTCTTCATTTTTTCTCAATCTGTTTTCTAATGTAGAAATAGGTAATTAGTTCATTACATGAACATTTGATGAGTTTGTTGAAATTTCATTTTACGGTATTTCTATTTCGAAAATAGTTTATTCTTACTTAAGACCTGGGCAATCACAAAAATCACATGATTTGAATTGTCATTATGTAAAGCACCAATTGTTATTTGTTTATAACATGTCCAATAAATGAGTTGGTTGAACATTTTTTATGATTGAATAAAAGTAATCCTTGTGGAGAAAAATCATTGATTATTATCAAAAGAGCTAAGAAATTATACAATAGGTACTTATCTTAACGCTCGGACGCTAAAATCTGTCTATGTCTTCAGAAATGGAAAAATTCAAGTTTATACGTAGTTTTTTCATTGCACAAAAATAAAATATTTCATAAATGCAACTTTTTGTTTTTCTTTTCTGTGTTGTTGGATTTTGTAAAGTCTGAGTATAGATCACAGTGTATTTTTTGTTTGGTAAGAAGTTCTAATAATAATATACATATTTCTAGGTAAATAATCGTCTTGAGGTCACTCGGCGATTTTGAAAAAATTTTTGAGTATTCTTACGTATTTTGATGCGTAGATTACGAATCCGAAAGAAAAGAGAGGCGCTCTCTTACAACGAAATTAAACTAAGGGTACTGTGGAAACAATTGAACTGAACTTCATAAGCAAAATATTTTATTGTCATATGACATTTGTTGAATAACTCAAAATAGTGTTTATCAGTTTTAGATTTAAAATAGTTTATTCGTTGTCTAGTGTGTTGTTAAAAATGATGAATCTTCAAGAGAAAATTGAAAACTCTTGGTGAACTTTCTACAAGATAAATTATAATCACAAATGAATAATAATCAGAATGAGCCTACCACAAGATATAGAACAACTATCGATGCGGTTTTCTCTAGATATCTTTCTAATTTTCATTTGGAAACATATTATGTATCTTATTTCTCATAACATAAGCCTATTGTCTTGGTCTTGCAATCAGCCGCAGTAAATTCAAATATTTGTAGAAAATTATTATATGTATATACATGTGTATATTATACATGTATGTATGTACAGGGTATTTCAAATTCTACCCCCACCATTGTGATCTCCTAATTATAGGAGAGATACGTCAAAGCCTAAATTGACGCAAAGTTTCGTTTTTTGTGCTTAACAAAATACTCTTTTGAAACTCTATGGCGCCCATAATAAAAAAAAAAGTTGATGGTGATTGCCAGAAGACGAAACGTTGGATAATAAAACTGAACATGAAAAGGTATAGCTGAAAAAAAGTATCAATGAAACTGTGTTTTTGGTTTTGAGCTATGTTGTCAAATAACGCTTAAAAAATGGAAACCAAAATTCCGATTATTAGTTTTCTCCGGATGTTTCCGGAAATATTCAGAAGAGTATTTTTTCAAGCACAAAAAACACAACGTTGCTCCAATTTAAGCTTCGACGTATCTCCTGTAATTTAGAAGATCCCAATGGTGGGAGTCGAATTTGAATTACGCTGTATATAGATCGAGCTAAAGAAGATTTACTTCAGTCGTATGGTCTAAAACATACTCGCTTTTATTGTCAATGATGTTTCTTCAATAAAACTTTCATTTGAATTGCATATCGTTTTTGCTCTGTTACAAAGACAATTTATTTTACTTTTTGACCACTCGCACGATTATTTCATGTGTAGTGAAGAAGGAGTTGACTATCTTGTTCTACCTCTATTGTGACCCTTATGGTCGGTTCCTGATCGTTGATGTAATTTAAAAAAGTATTCGGATCATCATAGTTTTTATTCCAAACAGCAAATATATCGTCAACATATCTTCACCTAACTTTGGGACCCTTAGGGTAAGTCTCAACAAAATATTCTTCAGAATGTTTCATATATACGTTACTTAGGTAATACAGGGGAAGTCATAGTCATGCCAAATTCTTGTTGATAGAAATCGTCTTCTAATTGAAAATATGTTTCGTCGCTACATAATCTTTAAAGTTCTAATATAGTAATAACATTCTCTAAGAACGGTGCCTGTGCGAAATATACATAAGTATATTTCGACGTTATTTGGTTTCCAAATGTACCTAGCATTTTCATAAAAAAATCAATAATTCAAGAACGGTTATAGTCAGGTATCATATATGAAATCATATTGTTTCCTGGCCTATTCAGGGTACCCCACTCTATACACACATATAACTTTGTAGGTGCGTGTGGAAGATACCCGACGGAAAACAACAACTAACCCAGCTAATACCGCTGCAGAAAGAGTCCATGACTAGGTTAGGTTAGGTAAGGTCCAAAGTGAGTGGGTCTATTCGACCCTCCACCGTAACCCTTGCGGGTTACGTACGAGTACGGCTCTGCCGAACTCTAAAGACCTGTTCGGTCCCCAGCGGGGCAGGCACAAAGTATATGCTCTATTAATGAGGTAGTCGGATAGTCAAGTTGCAAGATTCCCACATTGATACCCACGACAACCTTCCCATATGAGGGTTTTTGTACGTCAGCTACACCTGACAATGTCTTAGATTCAGCCCTGCAGGGCTTTTTTGCCTCTGGTTTTGGTGAATCATCACTTGAGCACAAACGCTTGCTAACCTGCTCATGGGGGGTTTGTTCCCTGGGCTACGTGGAAGCAGACATCCGATGGCCGGTTGCTCAACCCACACATCCCAAGACAATGCACTCGCCGAAAACAGCATGCACAGTGGTTCAGACAGTGAAAGATGAACAAGGACATCCAACCCGCCGTCCATGACTAGCTAGAATTATATTTGTTTGGTCGTGACACTCAGACGGTTTACTCCGTTCTGAAGAGACCATAACCGGTACTGATGATGGGGCAAGTACTCCAAAACTGGTCTATCGGTCGGTCATATCGACCAAATTAAATTAATTTCTGCTTTTCATAGTGGGAAATAACTTGCGACGAATCTTCCAAATCGAAGATGTTGCACAGGTGCCTGATGGTTTTACTTCATTTCTTAGCACGGCATTAGCTGGGTTACGGTAAGGTCAAGGGTAACTTGTTTTCACCTCAACCTGGATCATGTCATAGGCACCTCTCCGGAATATTATTCATTATTCCGACTCCCACCCCAGAGTACGTGTTTGTGGAGTTGTTTCCTGCCTTTTCTTCAGGGGTGCAGTGGGCATCCCACTGAATCAACTGCAGAAACCGTTCAGAAAAATGTGATATGTTAGAATCCCAATTGGTTTGTCAGAAAAATAGCGCAAGAGTATTCCAATACTACAACAATTCGTTTCCCGATCGTTAATTACCTAATCGGCGTTTTTTGCTGTGCTTCAACGTCGATTCAGGAACAATGAAAAAGATTTTGAGAAGAGGAGAACTAAAAAACGTTTTGTAATATCTGAAGATACAGAAATTGACGTTTTAGCCTACTTTATTTCTGTGTCCACCCCCCGTAAATATTGATGCAGTTCTTATCATGATTTCATCATACTATTGAATAGGGCTAAAATAAATATCTGAGACACTGAATATTTCATATAAATGCTTCCATCGGATAGTTCTCGTCGATTTGGATATGAGAAAAAAGTCTGCAAAATGCAACCCTGAATGTTGAACAACGTACAAGGGTACAAGATTCCAGTTCGATCTATGCCCAGTTCGAAAAAGATGTAAACTTCTTGGACATGTTATTACTGTTTGTGGAACTTGGTTACATTTCTACGACCCCGAAACAAAGCAGCAACGGGTGGAAATGTTACACTCTGGTTTTTTT